CCTCAGGATTGTCTGGAAGGACAGTCAAGTCCACAAAAAGCATTGAGCCAACATCCTCTGTAGGATGATTTGCTTTTTAACATAACGCTTTTTATGTTACTGTAAAATATTCCAGTTCACCTTGAACTTCATTGTTTGTGAATGTGCAGTTTCTGATTGAAACAAACCAAAATAAAAGGATGGTAAAAGTATTAAGAAACTTCTAAATGTGTTACTTTTATGTTGTCTCCCAGTTGATACATTAAGAGATCTGCTCAGTTACAACCCCTCTTGACCACCGGTCTCTATTTGCCCTCAGATCGAATGAATACACAGATCTTAAACAGACAGTTTTATCCATGAAGATTTATTATAATGGGATAATTCTCAATCCCATTTATAGCAGAATTAAATAATCACGTGGTTTTATTTTTTAATCTATGGAAGAAAAATAATTTTGCAAGCAAATATCCAAACTGTACCATTTCTATGGACACAGTGTTTTAGGAACTAACATGTCTTATTTTTTATGTGTTTTTTTTCACAAATCAGCTTTTGGATTCCTCCACAGTCAGGTCTGTGGTCTGCGATGTTCGCCACAGAAGCTCTAATGTTGGGTTTTGAGGCCGGATTTTAGAAGAAAACTCGGTTTCCCTTTCATTTAGGCTTCAGAACCTTACTTTCCTTCATTTAGATGGCTTCTCCTAATCCATACTATAAAAAAAATCCTTAATGCATTAAAACACATCAATGGACCAACTGTGCATCTGTCCTGTAAAGGTCGCGAAAGGAGTTTGGGGTTCAATTTAGGGGCATTAATTAACGAGGGCTACATTTTCAAGCAGCCATTTCCATGAACAAAAGGCAGGCTGTTGAGGTCCCTCTTTGACATGTAACCCACCCCCGGCCCATCAGGAACAATTGTTCTCTGCAGCCTGACCCCCCCTACACAGATCCACTCCAACTGTTGAAATAAGACATTTATTCACACACCAAGGCAAAAAGCCACATACATAATGTGTTTACTTGCTACCAGACAATAAAATACATGTATTTGCATTTCTATATTAGAGCTTTACTCACAACAGAACATAAAACTAAAAGAATGAAAAGCCATTGATGTACTTATGAGAAGGTCTGTGAATACTTGCAGCTTTAAGACTCAAAAGTGACTTAATTGTGCAATTTAAAGTTTAGTTTGGAAATATTTCCGGACAGTTATTTCAAATAAAGGGTGTTTTTTTTAAACTCCATCCTGATGAAGCTTTTATTTGGTTGGCCCACTCTGTAAAACAGAAGTGCTAAACAGGGCTGTGCTTAACTAACTGCTGCGGCTTCGGGCGGACTCGTGTTTCAAAAAACAACAAGCGGTTGCAGAGGAAGACGTGCCTTATCTCCTGTAGCAGCTGCAAACAAAGGCCAATTCCGTTTCGCGCCGTATGTTTAAAAGTCCAACACAGCCAATCGGCGAATGGACGGGGCAGAAAAACACAGACGCGTTCGCTCAGATAATTCAGCCAATCAGAGCGGAGAATGGGTTCTGTGCCCCGCCCCGCGTTTAGGTTTAAATGCTTAGAGTTAGCCAATCAGCTGAAGCGGGGGGATGAGCCACGAAACCAGTTTTAGGCGGTGACAAACAGTTGTTCTTTCTTCCTCATTCAGTCGTTTACAGCTAGTGTTGGAGAGAGCAGGTAAGAGACGCTGTTTCTGTCCCAAATTGCTCATTTTGGTCCTTTCTTCTTTATGAATATCATTTTTTGATGTTACCCTTTAATAGTGTGTTCGTCTCGATCGAGTCGTCGAGCTTTAAAAGCGGAAAGTGAACTTTTTATGACCTTTTTGGCCTAGAGGGTAAAGTTAATGTTTGTCGAAAATAACTTTTAAGGAAAGCCGCTGGTGTGTCGGTTTCTAATGATATAAATGTAGCCGGATTCTTGTTTGTGTGTCGTTGTTCTGCTTGTTTTGTGGTCTGAGGGTGTTGGTGCGTATCGCGCAGTTGAAACGCCATTTGACTATGCAGCGCGGCCGCCAAACACGACGGAAACTCCTCGTTTTCGGTCAAAAACAACCCACAAATTTGTTCTGACTAGGTGTAGGGTCTGGTGCTGGTCGCCAGAACCTGTTCCGAGTTTTATTGTTTACATATTGATTTGGGGCGGCTCTGTCGGGGAAGTTTAGGCGCAGTTGGAGTTTAGGCGGGAAGATACAAAATGGAGTCGGCGTCTTTTTGTTCCGAAGAAATCCGATTAGTGTCTGAAGACGAGTCCGCCCAGCGTCTACCGGGCTGATCTGGGCCTCGTTAACATTTAACAAATTAATTATGAGTCAAAGTTTACTTTGGATAACTTTAAAATTAGTTTGTCGGTTCATTTGATGGAGCGCTGATTCTTATCGTGGATGTTTACTTTTTATTTCCCCATAACCGCGCCATATTTTTTTTTTCTCCAGGGTGACCTCAGATAAATAGGACACATTCCTATTTAAAATTCAGGAAATATTTTAGCTGCTAAATGATGATTTAGCAGTTAAATAATTTTGTCTTGAACGATTAACAGATTATGGCAGCCGTTTTTAAATGGAGTCAGAACCATTGTTTTAATCTAACTATAAATGCTTTTATAGACGAAGATTATTCAAGTATTTTTCTTAAACCCCTTAATTTGAAATCGAAAGGAAGAAAAGTGCTGTCAGCATAGCTTGATAAAACTTGTTTTACTTGTGCACCTCTGATCCTGTTGCATGCTAGGATACCTGGATTAAATTAGATGAATGGTTCAAATGGTGCTCTTACTGGTTACAGGAAGAATTTATTAGAACTATATATTTAATTTCTCATTTAACATTTTTTTTTAGAGTAAGCGCAGCCATGACGAAAGACCCCAATAAGCCCAGAGGGAAAACCTCAGCATATGCCTACTTTGTTGCAACCTGCCGCGAGGAGCACAAAAAGAAGCACCCAGGAACCAGCGTCAACTTTGCAGAGTTCTCCAAGAAGTGCTCAGAGAGATGGAAGGTGAGCTGGTGTGAGTGACGGGGAACTGGTCCCAGATTTACACGTAAAGAATATTAACTTTATCTCTGTCTTCAAATCGATAGACCATGTCAGCCAAGGAGAAGGTGAAGTTTGACGAGATGGCCAAAACTGACAAGGTCCGTTATGACAGGGAGATGAAGTCGTACGTCCCTCCCAAGGGCATGAAGAAGGGCAAGAAGAAGAAGGACCCCAATGCACCCAAAAGACCACCGTAAGTTGTCCATACCACCAGCTTTTTTTTGTCCTTTTCAGTTTTCTGAGAATAAGGAGTCCATCTTTGTTTCTCCAGCTCTGCTTTCTTCGTCTTCTGCTCTGACCACCGTCCCCGGATCAAGGAGGAGAACCCCGGCATCTCCATAGGAGACATCGCCAAGAAGCTTGGAGAGCTGTGGGCTACCCAGGGCCCCAAAGATAAGGCTCCATATGAGGCCAAGGCAGCCAAGTTGAAGGAGAAATATGAGAAGGTATGTGCAGGGTTGTTGGGAGGGATGTTCCCTGTGTGGAACTCTGGCTTATTCACTGCATGTTCCTCTGCAGGATGTTGCTGCCTATAGAGCCAAGGGAGGCTCTGGGAAGAGCGACGCCGGGAAGAAGAGCGGCCCTGGCCGGCCCCCAGCCAAGAAGGCTCAGCCTGCTGATGATGACGACGATGATGAGGATGAAGATGACGAAGAGGAGGATGAAGACGACGATGAAGATGATGATTAAGTGGCTTTTTTTGTGTGGGTGTGATTGCAACATTTAGCCTGCTGTCCCTGTGGGTCTGAATGCCTCCTTCTGATTCAGGGATTTAGTTTAATTTCCTCACCTGGTCCACTTATGTGTTATTTCTACTGAACTCGGGTTTGTTACACCTTAGATCCTTGTTGCTATTTAAACAGCGATTCATTGGACTGAGCTCCACTAGCGGACAGCAGGACATTTTCTATTTTTTTTTTTTTCTTTTGAAATTTGTTTCTGGAAGCACTGCTTATGTTTTCTGTTCTAGTGGTGCAGTTTTGTTTTTGTTTTTCTCCACTGTTTTATTACCAGGATGTTTCTGTAGCTTGATTAAAGATGGCAGCCATTTTTAAAGTGGAACTTTAAAACATGTAGAATGAATTTTTCTTTTATAATAAAATTTTGTATATTGATTATATCCTGAGTCTTTTGTTGTACATCTAAATGTTTATGCTCTTTGAAATCAAATGCTCCCAGTGTTTATTTTCCACCATATGAAATTAAAGGTTAAACTAAAAATAAACTTAAAATGGTAGGTTTAAAGTGTTACAACTTGTTTAAGCAACTTGCTTGTCTGTATAATTTAAAATACTTTATCTCACTTCTTACCAAGAAACCTGTTTCTGAGGCTGATTACTTTTCAGGGAGAGACCTCAAACAGCTGCTAGCCCTTGTAAATTTAGAGCATGCAGGCCTCATCAAAAATCAACTTGTCTAAACAAAAGTTAACTGTGAGGCCTTAAGGATCAATAGGTATACTTGTAGGCAAATTCAGTATAAATGCAAAAACTGTCTTGGCCAAGGACTGGGGGAATTAAAACTGAAAATTACTTGTACTAATGCATAAATTCAGGTGAAATCATGACTTGCCATATGGAAGCTATAGCAAATATTATGTATACCCAAGTAAAGCTTTTCAAAGTCTTCAGGTTTGCATGTTTCTCATAAAAATTGGTTAGGACAACATGACCAAGAAGTGTCTTCACAACCCCTTTTTCATAGGAATTCGGGAAAATTTCACAATGGCAAAATACTTCATGGTAAATAAATGCTATAAGGAGTTTCACTTTTGTTTCTTGAATATTTAGCTAAGCAAAAAAATTTTTATATATTTTTTTATTCCAAGTTGTGTGAAATGTTGACCATATCTTGAACCTCCGGAAAGGAAGAGTGCTAGATCGACATACACGGCAGCCAATGGTTGTTAAGAATGAGCTGCCTCGTCGACCAATCAGGCGCCGCTCCGCATTGGTCCCGCCCCTCTTGGACGACGCTGGGATGCGGCAGCATCCGTAGGAGCGGCAGGACTCCATTCAGCAGCTGTCCGCCACGGAGCGGCCTGTCTACACCTTACGGTAAGAGGAGAACCTGGCTCAAATCGAGCTTCTGAACGAATGTAACCATCAGTGAAAAAAGAAAATAAAACGGAAAAGCAGAGAAATAAAACAGGTGCTAGCCGCGCGCCCGTCACCGCGCTGCCGCATCAGCGTCGCGCAGGTGTCTGCCGAACGTCTTCCGTGGATTAGTTGGTTTTGCTAAGACCTGTTGCAGGTTCATCCGTCCTCCTGGGATCTAACCGCAGCCTGGGACCTCTGCCGGTCCCAAAGTACCCGCGCCGATCACCGATATCTATGATTCTTATTCATTCCAACCCGGCAGCGCCATGTGAAAATCCCGTTTTATGTGTCACGCGTGGACACGCACCGTGGCACAGATTATGTCTCCATAAAAACCAAGAGAAGCAGTAAGCCAGTATTATCAGCCCATCGGAACCGGGCCCGTTTTGAGGCTCTCTGCGCTGCTCCGGGTCCTGCAGGGGTCGGTGGCAGGACAGGGCAGCCTTTTAACGGCGCACAGCTAAAATACAACATCATGGGGAGGTTCAGATATAAACCAAAACAAGGGTTTAACTTTATGATGAAAATTAGTGGGGACACTAAGGGTGGAGGCTGATGGACCTACAGTTACTCCACCCCAATGCTTTCATTAGGTTTTTGTATTTTCCAAAAATGAGCTCAAACACATATTTATTGAATGTGTTCCTATTGTTGAGAACATAGAACTATAATACACTAATATTTATATTTATAGATGGTTAGAAAGATGTTTTTTAGTGCATTACATAGATAGGGCCCAAAAACATTAATGTATATTAAAAAAAATATGAATAAAAGCAGATTCTGATGCCAAAATCAATATATCATGCATCCCTAGAAGTACAATTTCAATTCCATCTATCCATTCAGAAAAATCTGGATATGCGGCAATATATATATATATATATATATATATATATATATATATATATATATATATATATATATATATATATATATAAATAACAATATATCATAGCATAATTTTTCTTGTAAATTTTCTGGTAAACTTGGAGATATATTTTATTGCATGTTGCATATCCCACTAAATCTGTTTCACCTTTAAACTTGCAGCTATCCCCATTTCTCTCTGTTTAAAAAGGTTTATGAAGCTCTTTACTAATATAATGATGCTGGAAACAACATGTCCAGATATGTAGAAGCTCTGCACTCTGATTCTGTCTGTGCAATAAAAAAACATGTTAATTTTAACCTGTAACTGGGAGTCATGGTCCTCTGAGAAGCCAAGCTTTTTTTTTTTTAACTAGTAAAGAAGAACAAACTATGTTTTCTCCAGCTTCTTGCACTATAATACTAACTTGGATAAATTTACAATTTGTTGCCATTTTTAGCTGAAAAAGCTCCGTACGTCAAACAAACAGATTTCTATCTCTGATTTTTTAATGTTTTTTTTTTTACCAAATCGCCTAACTTTTACTTCAAAATGAAAGTAGCTGCTGGTTAATATTCACTGAGTGCTGCTGTGTGTCTTTTCTCCAACCACGTAAAATGCGATCTCAAATCAGATGTCTCAAAGCGACAAATACGACGATGCTTTACTGCGATGCGGGACACGGGAGCAGCGGGAGAGTTAAATTATTGGTGTGGACTGTCCACACAAGTTCTTCAAAAAGTTACACCTGTGAACCACACTGTTGATGAGTTCTGCTTCGCCTATTAAACCCCTCACCCAAACCATCATTAAGTTTCCTGCTGAAGACTCCTGCTTCCTCACCGGCCGGAGAACAGGTTCATAATCTGCGGCTACAGGTGGGATTATCATTTCGGAAAGGCCACAATGCAATTTGATTCTTCTGATCCAAAGAAATCCAGCCAGCAGCTATCTGGTCCATAGGATCACAGAGTACGAGCAGAACGTGATGATTATTTATTTGGACCAAAGCTGTTTTTCTGGCCAGGTTCTAAAGACTCTTGTTGCAAAAATAAATAAATCTATGCAAGATAAAGTCTTCTCAATCTGGTTTTAGGATGTTAGGGAGAAGGACCACCCAGATATGCTGGAGGTTCAGGCTTTTAATCTAAGCTGTTTGGACCCTAAACAGGAGGAGGTTTCAGAACTGACAATTTCAGTTAGAAATGAACCAATTATCCATCATATGAGAGTTTAAAAATGTTTTTCTAAGGGGTTAGACAAAATTGTTGCAAATCAATTAATGTCCTTCCTGCAGCTTACTGCATTGTAATCTAGATTTCTCTCCCAATATCATGGATGTAAAAAAGTAATCAAATTACATTTAATTGTTGATGAATGGACATCATCTGCTCAGGAATTTCTTTCAGTGTTGTAGTTCTGCTGTTGTCCACTACAGGGCGACACTGTTCATTCTTCACCGGAGCCTCACGGGTTTTTGCAAAAAAAAAAAAAATCCAGCTAGTGCAGAGCCATTAATAGATCCAGATTATCAGAATGGTCAGGGATTATTTACTCTGTTTAATGGAGTTTATGTATGGGGTTACATTTAACGGATGCAGAAGGAACTTTAGGTTATTCTGTTTTTGAATA